CACGTCAATGGCAGTGAATGAGTTAAGAATTGATTAAAAAGTCTCCAGGATCAGAAGAAGGGAGGATATGAGAATATGTAGGGGTCTTTAGCTGCTCCAGAGTGCAGGCTAACAGTGAAGCTGATAGTGTTGACATTTTCAAAGAAATTCATAAGACCGACCTCCTTAACTGGCTTTGAATGTCATCCTTTTCTTTTTTATTGTTAAGTATTGATGACTTTTATTGTTTTCTTTTCTCAGTTATATCACCTTCACTGCTTCTGTATACTGTTATTAACAGTTTTGCAGTTACTTCCGAATCACTTTGACTTGCACCAAATTGTTGGGAAGGTGATGAATAAATAAAATCAGACAGATTCTACGTTAAATCTGAGATCTTTTGCTTTTTAATTTTCCTTTTATTTTTATATTAACTGCATAAATGACATTTCATACCAAAAAACTGACTTTCTGAAATGATACTTAGTGGATTGCAGATTACACTGTGGTTCTTCTGGGCCGCTTCCAAGTGCAAATGTGTGTAATTGTAATGCGAGTGTGAACAGGATGTTCCTGCAGATGATACTGTATTTGTTCCTGGTGGGCTGTTTCTTAGAAAAAAAAAATAAAAAAATAAAAGGCTTCTGAAAAAACACAACTTTTAGGAAACAAGGTTACAAGTACACCTTTACTGAACTGCATATATTAACGTTGTGTAATCCCAGTACACAACGTTGTGTAACGTTGTGTACTGGGATATTTATAATTAGAGCTATTTTGTTGTATCTTGTAAATTTGTAATTCATTGTGTTATCTTGTCTAGTTTAGTTACTTACTCAGGGATTAATAAAGTATTCTGATTCTGACGCCATAACGTAGCAAATTACACTATACATGTGTCACCCACAGAGGTTTCTGACGATGAAACAATACCTTGCTCCACACGTTTCATTATTTTCCACACATAACTGAAGAAGTTACTTTCTGAAAAGTGTATGCTTAAATTATCTTTCTGAAGAGCTATTGAAAGAGGCAGACTACAGTTGGAGAGTGTAT